GCTCGGCTTAGGAGGCTCGGCATGCTCCTTCTCTTCCTCTTTCTGCATATTTCTGCATTCCTTCTCCCTATTTGTGCCCGTCCTCTCCAGAAGCCTGTGGAGCTCTTTATGCTCCCTCTCCCTCGCTTTCCCCGGGGCTGGATCGTTACCGCCTATCCCCCATTCCGGCCGGGCACAAAAGCGCTGCTTGGAGCTGCAGGCAGCTGAACCAGGGCGGAAAATTTGGTCGGACGAAGACAGAAAAACATCATTTTCCAGCGGGCGCACGCCGCCCCTGCCTCTACCTTTGGTCAGATTGCTTGTTGAACAAACTCGGAAAAAAAGCAGCAGACCTCAATCTATATGAATGCAACGTCGGATAATGAAAAGATTCTTCTTACATATACCGAGCTGAGATTTCTTTCCAAATAGGGAGGATTTACGCACTTTGGTATGGAAACCCGTTTGCTATGTAAGAAAAATATTGTGAAACCGGGGAGGTTGACACAGCAGCTTCGCAAGCAGAACATCAAGATGCTATCTTTGATCATCCTCCCAATTGTGCTTAGCAATATATACGCATCGCAGTGCCATCTGCCTAGGGCCAACAGCAAAACAAAAGTTTCACATGGCAGCACAAACATCCTCGGCGGCTTCTGCAGCTCGGCAAGAGAGGCACTGAAAACGTTTGTTCTTTTTCAGACGAGAGATGTCAAATTGGGAGATGTCGAAAGTGTTGTCAGAGCTCAATAAGCCTCGAAGGGAATTATCCAACTCCTGTTTCACCGCCTTATGCTTCACGGACGCTTTACAAGACCGAGAATAGTTCCGTTTTGATGCTAAAAGTTGTCATTATCAGCTACTTCCAGTATAAATAAGCGCAATTTGATCAGTGTGCTAACGTGCAACCCTCTGCTGCAGGTTCAGTGCTGGTCTTTGGGTGAATTAATTCAACCAGTACAGTGTGACTAACTCATATAGTTGAAGGAATCGTGCCAAGATAGACATTCGGTCGCATGGAGAGATATCTTTACATTAAAAGGTATTTAGTTGCACTGAGGCTTTAAAAAGTAATCCAGAGCAGCACAGGCAGAACCTGGCACTCCCCATCACAAAAATCCTCTTCTTCCCTTCCCAGCCAGTTTAACAGGGGCTAGGTAAAACCTGTGCCTGGCTGGGATGTGAGAATACACCATTTGCTTATTTTCAAGAATAATTCGAGGTCAAATAAAGAACAGCAAATGTTTTCGAGGCTGGCAACCAAAATAAATCATGGCGATTTCTAGGCATTTTTTGTTGTTGTTATTTTAGTACTATATTGTTCTGTTCACTAAAATCTTTTGTACACCCAGAAAGACTTCCAATGAGAACAAGATGTTTGTCCTTTAACACCACATTATCAACAGAGGTCATTTGCTATTTTTCAATGAATTAACCCTTTTATTTGTTTATTTCTTTGATCAGCTATAAATGAAAGTTATTCGTGTATATAAAACTGAAGTTTTTACTGTTGAAATTGAACTGTACATGTTTACTACAGGAAAAAATATCAACTCTTGTTTAACAAGACATTATACATCAATAAGCAATAACCTTGTGGAGGATTTGCAATCACCTGGTCTATAAAAACAAGCAGGACAAATAACAGCAATTTATATGCAAAAGTAATGATTTAATGACTATAAGCAAGACAAAGCAATAGAATTGTGCTTCTTTTGCAGACTGGAGACAATGAAATGTTTAGCTACAATTTTCCCGTACAAACATGAAACAATATCCATATAGAATAAACACCCTCACAAATGTATAACTGATGGGTGATGAACACACACGAAGTTCGACCAAAGCAAAGCACAAACTGAAAAGTGTTCTGGGCTGTTCATATTTTATGGTGGAAAAGTTCCTTCTACTGAAAAAAAAAAATACCCTTAGAAGCCTCTAATAAAATGCACCTATTTGCAGGCCATTAAAGAGGAGGCATTCTCCACAATTTATTGGAATTATTAAAGTACCTGTTAAATTTTAATGAAGTTAGTACTGTACCATATACATATATATTAAAACAAATTTAGATAAAATGCCTTCATCCAGCGACTTGCTGGTTCCTTAAAATTTATACCAAATAGTTTATGGCTTCTATAATGATTCCATGTGCTTTTAAAAACACAATCCCACCACACCAAATAATAAAAAAGTAATCAAACAGGTCAAAAACTTCCATGTCCCTTAACTTTTTTTTTTCTTTTTTTCTTCACTGCATCACTTCAACATTTGGTAAAGTAAAAATATATCACTGGAAAAAAAGACAAAGCCAGTAAAATGCTTTTAAGATTGCCAATTGCCTCCAGGTTATCAGAGACTTGAATGTGCTTTCCCAATACTGTAACTCTCACACGCGAAGTGTTTCTTGCAGTATGAGCAAAGCTCAAACAGGCGGCATCTGCAAGGGTCGAACCAGTTTAGAAATTTAACAACCATATCATGAGTGCATGAAACACAATATTTTCTTTATAGTATTTATAAATATATCATACAATACTGTTTCCTGTTATGTCATATACCAATATGGCATTGTACAATAAGCATAATGCCATCTGATTCTTACAAAAGCGAATCATTTAAACAAGTCAGTAAATAAAACGGTAATACCCGCTTTTAGGCATACAGATTGTAAAACTGAAGTTTACTTTTCTTTTGATCGGTTCTGCGCAGCAACAGAGAAGTAAAAGATGCAACATAAGAATCAAAATGGCTAATACGCAAAAATTGTTATTCACAGTGACATGGCTACATATATGCATTATTCTATGCATATTCTTTCCGTTTTGTTGGATTTCAAGATGAAAAAGCACTTGCTTTCTACAGGTTCACAAAACAGCATAAGAACAATAACAATCGAAGAGAACGCAATGGAGGAGTTAGTCTGGATTAACAAACTACTTCCCGGGATTTGTATCGACTTCTGGAGACTCCCGAGTCCAGATGATGGGGACGGAAACAACGCCGCATCGCTCAGAACAGGTGAAGGTGTAACTTTTGTTTGCTTCCCAGTCCTCTGAAAACAATTTACATTTCAATCTTGCGTTTCCATTAACGTCCATCCTGAATGTCACCTAGTCCGCCTTTTATAGCCAAGGTCAGTGTCACTACAAAAGAAAGCAATTTGGACGATAGTCACATGGATTAGCATCTATAAAGCTGTAATGGCATGGAGAGATCTATATAAAGGAGGGGCGGGGGCGGTAGCCTGGTTGGCGCGTCAACCAGATGAAGTGGCCGAGGAGCCATTTATCGACGTTTTCCGCGCTCTGTTGGTAAAGGAGGACTGGTGGTTACTGCTGGGGCTGCTGCTGGTGCCGTTCATGGTGCTGGAGATGTGGGGGAACTGGGGGTGAGGAGACTGGACCGGCGTGCTGGGGCTGGGCAAACAGGAGGATGTGGAGGGGATGCCTCCTGCCGGGCTGCTCGCCTTGTCGCTCCCAGAGTCACTTTCCAGCTCCCCGCTATTATTCAAGCCTTCCCTCTGGTGACTGATCTTCATCCTCTTGCAAGTAGGTCGGACCCGGTATTTCAGGGGGAGAGGCCCGTTCTGCAAGGCAAAGGGGAGACCCTGGTAAGCGCCCTCCCCAGGCCACAACCCGCACCCCCTGGGAGGCGGCACGCTGGAGATACTCACCCGCCTCCAGGTATAGATGTAGGCAATATCCATTAGGGTGTAGTAGTCCTTCAGAGGCTCCTCTTCATACATCACATCGATCTGTTCAAGACACAAACCCTTGCATTAAGGCGCATCCAGGCATTTACCCCTAGCGTATGACTGCTCCGAGGTGAAAGTAGCCCCGCTGCCATATGTATGTCAGAAAATTGAAAAAATGCTATACCAAAACCAGCAGGGAATAGGGAATTTTCATATCTATTAGATACATTTTAAATACATTAAGGAGCAATTTCTTGATACTTCGATATTTACAGCATTAAAAAATTACAGAGTATCACCAAACTCTCCGGATAGATATTTTAAAAATTGTGTTCATGATCCCATCAACATAGTGCACACACCAGAAATATTTGGTAGTTAGCACTTGCTGGAACTGGCTGTAATGAGAATACGAGTGCTAACCAGCATTAGCAGGCTTAGAATAGCAAGTCTGATTTTAAAAAAATCTCTCTTTCCCCATAGGTACCTGGAAAGTGTTAGGTATATCCATTTTACTCCGCAGGAACTTTCTTAGATGCATCACTGTCATTGCTGCTGGGCAGCGTAAGTATCTTTTGTCATTCACCTGATGGCATAGTAAAGAAAATCAGTCTACTGAGGACAAGCAATTACTCCCACCAAAGTTGTCTTCTAACATTGTATGTCGTTTAAAAAACAAGAATGCACTTCATTAAATTATGAACTATAACGTAACAATTTCTGCTGCCTTAGAAGGAACAACAGAAATCAGTGGTAAATTACAGTTCCAGAGAAAGTAATAAAAAATACAACTAATTTTATACATAAAGATTTGTTATCTCATGCTAAAACCCCTTTTTAGGATATATGTGCATTACATATTAATTTTTAAATTAATTAATAATTTATT